TGAAATATGCTCCTCCACCATCCTCCGTGGCGCGCGGTCTTGCTATTTTCCCATGGAGACTCGCGTTGATGACGTGCACGAGAGTGGCGTACTCGCGAGCTCTGTCCCGAAACACGGCCTTGAACTCCGTGCCCTGGCCCACGACAGGAATGCGCGGTGGTCCGCAGTGACGATGCCATGCCCGCTGAAATGCCATCCAGGTAGCCTGAGATGTAGTAGGTCCAGCGACGCGCTCCACAATATGGCAATTGGTGCCCCAACATATGGCATGCACACGCGCGACCTCCAGTCCAAGCGCCGCTTTGACTGCAGGCGCATCGCAACCGACAAAATAATTACACAGAGACGAACGCAAAACCGCCGCCGGTTGTCGCGCCGCACGACGTCTGTTGGATTCGCAAGCCGGGCAAACGACATGGCGCCGCGCCCATCGCAAGATTGAATTGCGAGCCCGTCCGCGCCGAAGAACCCGGATGCAATCGCGAAGTTCCGGATGCCCCATATTATTGTGAGCTCGTAAAAATAACCGTTGTTGGAGAAGCGATGGGACCTCCATAGTTTCGGTGCCCGGTGCATCTTCAAACCCGTCTTGCTGTAGGCTAGGTCATTTAAAATCGGGTCCAAGGCTGTCGCCTTCCGCGGCGCCCTCCATCTCCTCGTCGATCGTCTAGAGCGCGGGGTGCACTCCGATGCACATATGGTCCTCGGCGATAGACTGCGTGGAGCCGTCGACCACGTGCGGTGCGCAGTCCTCGGCTAGCTTGACGACTGCGTTCGAGTACTGGAACAACCGCGGCTGGTTATCGGTTTCGTTGGCGTTGAACTCGGTGCGCTCGATGATATTGGCCTTTTGAAAGTGCTTAACTAGGCCCCTGAGAATCGCGTTGCAGAGCTGCGGCGTGCATTCCTGCGCGAGCCCGGTGGACTTGCTGCCGAAGGGCTGGTCGCGGTCGGAACCGCGGTGAGTGCGTCGTCTGCAAACGGCCTCGGGAATCTCAATGGATGTGCTGAGGGCGCCGTCGGCTTGCGGTTGAGCTCGCCCCCGTCGGCGCGCGGGTTGAACTCGCACATGTCGGTGTTGATCCAGCCGATGCCGCGCGGAACTCTAGGTGTTGGAGACCGCCGCGTTCTTCACTGCTAACGATCTCCTGGTCGCGCTTGTAGTTGGACAGGTCCCTGATGCGGCTCGCGCGGCGGGCTCAGGGTGACGAGCAGCGGCTGCTCCTTCTCGATGATCTCTCGCGCCCTCCTGCGATCTACGCCCAGCGCGAAGTCGAATCCGGTAGTCAGGTCCATCGCGCTCCCAGGTTGGGGCCCATGTCGGATACAATGCTGTGTGACACGAGGTCGGCAGTTGATTTCCGCGACGTCAGCGCCCTTCCTGGGTCGCTTTCCCAGGCTCCAGGTCCATCGAAACTATCGCCAAACACCCTTGGAAATGCCTGCCTGCTCGCCGTGATCAAAGAAGACACTCGTGATAGCCTCACTCCGCACCTTGAAGATATCGACGCGGTCAGTCGCGTCGTCCTCGCGGTCCTCTGCGATCAGTCGACCCGACACGCGAACCTGTTCATGTACCCGCTGCCGATCCTGTCGCCAAAGAGACCGCCATTCGCGAACCTGTTCATACTGACTGGCGTCACGACGATGACGACGCCCGTCTCGCTGTTGTCGTCTAGGCGTCCGAAGTAGAGCGGCCCTGCAGTCGCGTGTCCTCGTCACTTGACGAAATGGCGATAGCCCTCACCTTCTCGAACCCCTCGGGCGCGATCTCCTCTGTCTCCTCGCAAGCCCGAGCCGTACGTAGGTACACGTACCTCTTCTCGCAACGGTCGTACACCCTCTCCATGGGCGCCCCGTGGACTGGGCATGCTGCAACCTCCACCGTCACTGGGAACTTCATCCTCACCGCTGTCGACGGACGTGCAGTGGTCTGACCGCGCCGTGCGCGAGCAACTGAAAGCGGCATCGATTGACAGCCTGCTCATGACCATGAGGCTGCGCTATTTGCAGCGGCTGGTGCTCCTGCGCCCACCGGACTTGCTGGCACTGCTGCACTTCCGCCCGAATGGGCAACCGCTGCCTTGGGTGAGGCTCGTCGCTGCGGACTGCGAGTTCCTGCGTCGCCAGGGCTTGGTGTTTCCCGCCATGCCTGGTTTTTTCGACGCACCGCCCCAATGGGCCGACTTAGTGGCTGACCGCCGGAAGTGGGCTGATATCATGGGCAGCGCGCGTTTCTGCGATATTCTTGCCTCGGCCGCGACTGCACCTCGTCCTCGGACACGCCTCTCACAGTGAAGTGCCGGATTTGTAGTGCTCGCTTCGCCTCCGCGCGCGCCCGCGCGTGCCATGAGCGCAATGCGCACAGGGTGGCTACGAAGGCTCAGTGTTACCTCCATGGCACGGTTTGTCCATGCTGCACTGTAGATTTCCGGCAGAAGATCCGTTTGCTGGCGCACTTGTCTGACTCCCGCCGCCCACGCTGTTGGACTTCGGTAAAGGCGCACGTTGCCCCCTTGACTGCTGACCAGCAGGCGAGGGTAGACGAAGAGCTCCGATCCGCCCGACGCGCCGGACAACGCGCCGGAAGGACCCACGCCCTGTGCCGCCTGCCAGCGAGGAGGGCCGATGGACGTACCATCTGGCGCCTCGACTGACCGTAGTCACACGCGCTACTACACATTTCGCTTGTAGCCACCAGGGCTACCTGACACCTGGTTTGCGCCGTCGCCACAGCTCGACGCCCGTCATTCTTTTTGTTTTTTGTGCAATGTTCCAATCGCTCTTGAGATTATCATCGCTCGCACAAAAAAATATGTAAATACATTCGAGAGAGACAAAAGATACCGATGCCGCTACTCCCAAGACCTATGCATGAATACATGCTGGCAAGAATTCCAAGGAGAACCCGGCGGTCCGCCTTGGACGCCCGCGGTGCGGCGGCAGTCGCGTCGAGACGGCCCGGGCCTTCGATTCCGTGAGACGGGGGGGAGAGTCGGATACCCGCCAGACGGGCCGTGTCAGACCCCCCAACCGTGAAAGGGCGGCCTTGTTCCCCGAACCCCCCGAACCCTCCAAGACAGCTCCAATCAGACCCCCCAAAAAAATGTGGCCCCCCCACTTTATGATGGAGCGGCGGACGGGCACGCGGCTCCAGACGCCAGCGGCTCGCCGAGAGGCTCCCCCGCGCCGCTTGCGCGCCCTTGCGCCACCGCCCTGGACAGCCCAAGCCGCGATGCGCCAAAGAGCGCTCATCTTCGCGCCGTTCGGGGGGACCTGGAGCAAGCTTTGTTCCTGGATGCAGGGGGGGACAGCGAGGGGATCTTGCAAATCTTGGGACCTTTGGAGCGCGTCATCTTCATAGTCTTTTGGTCCCCCGAATTGGCGAAAAGCGGCGCTCACAAGGGGGTGGCGCGAGAGGGACGGGTTTCTAACAAAGCGGGGGGGGTTCTTATCGGGCAGACGTCGGACTCGGGTCAAGGGGACTCGGGTTGGCCTGGCGGAGCCGTCAGGAAAATGACGAGACCTTGTCTGAATTCTGACGCGAGCTCCCGCTGCAAGCATCCCACGACAACTGGACCGTCAAAATCCAAGACGGGCCCGTCAAAAGAATTGGACCCGTGTGATTGGAGAGGACATTTGCGAGGACACAAGGCCCTTCCAGGGGCCACGTTGCGACTGGCATGTAGAGGACATGGGTCGCGAGACAGAGAACGCAAGGGTACCCTTGACTTGGAAGGGTCGGCCTACTAATCAAACTCGACTGCATTCGAGTCTTACGTTTCTCCGATCTTATAAGGCGGAACCCTTCTAAGAAGGCTTCGGGTAGGGGATCGGCTACAGAATTGATTTCCCCGTCGAATCTACAACGCATGATTTGCCCCGTAGGTATACGGAGCATTCTGCGTATTGTCTTGCAGATCCGACGGACACATTAATTTTGAGGTAAATCAATGTTGTAGTCGATCTTCACCTCGAACTGTCCTCATTCTTGCGTTTCTCCGATCTTGGGAAGGCGGGGCCCTTCTGAGAAGGCCCCGGCCCCTCCTGGGGGGTCCAACGCAAACCCACGAAATCCGCGCGGAGCGTCGAAAGTTTATGCTTATGCCGCTGTTCCTCTTCGAGATAGGTCCCCGATGGCAAATCCGCACGGTCCTGATGGGCGATCGGAGCTCGATGCGTCCCACACTGAGTACGTTGCCCCTGATGTGAGAGCCGCCAGACCGAGCAGTCGAGGCGGAGCGCAAGGTGCGGCTAAGTACGGCGGATGGACTCGGGGCCCCAAAACTGCATGGCGACGGACCGCGGGGGGTGACCTCGGAATCCCAAACGACTTCACCGCGCGGTCCGCCACCGCACAGTTTCGGGACCCCGGACGCCTCAGTCGCCCGAGACGTCCTCGGAGAACTGCCCGAGTCCCAAAACCGGTAACCGCGCGGTGATCCCGAATCCGGGAGACAAGACTCGGGTTCGGGGGCCTCGGGTTGTCCTGACAGGGTCGCCAGGAGGACGGCGAGACCCAGTCTGGAATCTAACGCGAGCTCCCGCTGCCATACATCCCGCGAACACTGGACTGTCAAAACTCAGGGCGAGTTCGTCAAAAGCGAGATCGGTTCCAAATTCTCGCGATCACGGCCGTTACCGGCCCCGGCCGCACCCCCCCAAGATTCGTGCTGCCCTCCAAGCCGTTTTCGGTTTTCTCCTGAACTTTTCCCAACGGCGCCGGCGCCAAACGTAACCTTTGCCCCCACCCTCCGCCACCCACCCAAACAACGCCTATCGCCCAGGCATGGAAACTCGCTTCCCCAAACCGCCAGCAAACCCCCATTCTGGCGACCTCGAGCCCCACGCTTCCGCGACGGGATCCTCACTGACGCACCACGCGGTGTGGTCACAAGACCGCCCGGGGGCCCCCCGACGGGGCCCGAGGCGCCAGGCGGCAAGGCGGGGCGGGCTCCGCGCTACGCGCGCGGGGGCGCAGCGGCGGGGGGGGGGCGGGCGTGGTGCTCGGCGGGCTGGAAGCTGCTGGACGAGGAAACCTGCCGGTGGCGGCCGGCTCTTCCCCCGGCGGCGGCAACTCGTGGGAGCCGCCCAGATCGACGCTCAATCGATGCCAGTCGACGCCAAATTGAAGCCTCATCAGCGATCCCCAGACGCTAGCGCGCGACCGTGCACGCCAGAGACTGAATTCCGAGGGCACATACGGCGAACCACGACTTGCTACCGAGCCCCCCGTGGTGAGGGCAGAGACTTTCTTGCTGGCCTGCGGCAAACTGTGTCCAACAAGCGGTCGGGCTAGCGGCGGGGCGCGTCCGCGGATAAGAACGGCGGATGCAAAGGGAGGGGCATGAAGGGAGGAGGAAGCGGCCGCGGAGCAGCCAGAGAGCTCGCAGACCATGCGGGCGGGAGACACTAGGCGCAAGAGCGGGCGAAAAGTCGCGGGCCAATCGGGCCAAGAGCTCGCTAAAATCTCCAATGCTAGAAACACTCCGCAACGGTTGCTCGGAATTGCGGAGACGTTTCATGCGAAACTAGCTGGACCCCCTCGCACGCGGCAGCTCTTTGCCCATCATTGCGGGGACGTCTCAGGCAAAACAGACAGGACCACCTCGCGGGCGGCACCTTGAAGCTTCGTGTAACGACTATGTCTCAAGCGACACGGACGAGGCAACCTCAGGTCACGGTATCACGAGCCAACATGTTCCGAGGATGTTTCAGGCGAAATGGGCCAGACCACCTCTTGCGTAGCGTCTGAAAGATCAGAATTGCGAGGATGTCTCACTCGAAACGGCCAAACCATGCCAAACCTGGTCGTCTCGCAACGCAGACCTGTGAGGATGTCTCATGCTGAACGGGCCGAACCACTTCAGCATGTTGCCAATGTCTCGACGCCCAGGCCCTTCGGGCGGCGTTCGTTTGTACCGCCACAATGCCCCCTGGCGCCGGCCAGGCGACGCGGGAGAACTCCAAGACAAAACCTGCTGGACGGAAACAACCGAGAAGATCCCACGCAATGCTTGGGCCGCCATTTTCCGCGAAGTGGCGGACAGCCCTAATATATAGCGAACATGTTCCTGGCCTCGGGAGTCGGGGCAATGAGGTCGAGGGGCCTCGAGCAGTGCAAGTTTAAAACTGGGATCCTCTCGTGATTATCCTTAAGTCGGGCATGTCCCCCTACAGAGGGATTTTGGACGACAAAGAAGAAACAAAACAAAAACAACAAATTAACCTGTGACGTACCCAACCCATTTGTATCAATGGAAACGAGGAGTTGGCCGAACCTTGCATGGACAATCAACTTGATGTGTAAACTACTTGAGACACGCGCCTATGGCATGATGCGCAGGAGAACCATACAAGAACGAGGGGCGACAGCTACAGGCTCGAAGAGGACATGGGGAGTCGGGAACGCAGAGCAGGAGAAAAACGTGCGGGAAGCCGAACCATCAGCACGGCAGCAGCAGAGGGAAGGTGACTGCAGGAGGAGAACAAGGACGAAAGCGGCGTCTAATTTGAATCCGCCGTGAATACCCACTGTGCTGGGCCACCCAGCAGGCCTCGAAAGTGGCGACAGTTTCACAAATCGCAGCCCCCCAGGGACGGCGAGGTCTAATTTGAATCCGCCGTGGGTACCCACTGTGCTGGGCCCCCCAGCAGCCCTCGAAAGTGGCGACAGTTTCACAGATCGCAGCCCCCCAGGGATGGCGAGGTCCCATTTGAATCCGCCGTGGGTACCCACTGTGCTGGGCCCCCCAGCAGCCCTCGAAAGTGGCGACAGTTTCACAGATCGCAGCCCCCCAGGGATGGCGAGGTCTAATTTGAATCCGCCGTGGGCCACTGTGCTGGGCCCCCCAGCAGGCCTCGAAAGTGGCGACAGTTTCACAGATCGCAGCCCCCCAGGGATGGCGAGGTCCCATTTGAATCCGCCGTGGGTACCCACTGTGCTGGGCCCCCCAGCAGGCCTCGAAAGTGGCGACAGTTTCACAGATCGCAGCCCCCCAGGGATGGCGAGGTCCCATTTGAATCCGCCGTGGGTGCCCACTGTGCTGGGCCCCCCAGCAGCCCTCGAAAGTGGCGACAGTTTCACAGATCGCAGCCCCCCAGGGATGGCGAGGTCCCATTTGAATCCGCCGTGGGTACCCACTGTGCTGGGCCCCCCAGCAGCCTCGAAAGTGGCGACAGTTTCACAGATCGCAGCCCCCCAGGGATGGCGAGGTCCCATTTGAATCCGCCGTGGGTGCCCACTGTGCTGGGCCCCCCAGCAGCCCTCGAAAGTGGCGACAGTTTCACAGATCGCAGCCCCCCAGGGATGGCGAGGTCCCATTTGAATCCGCCGTGGGTACCCACTGTGCTGGGCCCCCCAGCAGCCCTCGAAAGTGGCGACAGTTTCACAGATCGCAGCCTCCAGCAGCCCTCGAAACGCAGCGACGAGCGAGGTCAAAGGCAGGGGGGAAGAGAGGGACGGGGGGGGGTGGGAAGGTTCGCGCGAGCAGTGCTCTATTCGAAACGAGAACCCAACGCAGGAGGGTTGGGAACAAAATACTGCGAAATGGTCAAACTACTCAAAACACCGTCCCCTGACAATTTTCCCAACCTAGGCTCTGCCTAGGAAGGGTTCTTACTCTCTTAGCTTAAAGAGGCCGGGCAATGGAAAGCGCCCCGGGCGGTTCCCCCGGTCCCCTGGGAGCGGTTCCCCCAGTCCCCTGGGAGCTGTAGCTGTAGCTTTGGCTTTAGCTTTAGCTTAGCTTTAACTTAGATGTAGCTTAGCTTTAGCTTAGCTTTCGCTTAGCTTTAGCTTAACTGTAGCTTAGCTTTAGCTTAGCATTAACTTAGCTTTAGCTTAGCTGTAGTTTAGCTGTAGCTTAGCTTTAGCTTAGCTTTAGCTTAGCTTTAGCTTAGCTTTAGCTTAGCTTTAGCGTAGCTTTAGCTTAGATTTAGCTAGGCTTTAGTTTAGTTTTAGCTTAGCTTTAGCTTAGCTTTAGCTTAGCTTTAGCTTAGCCTTAGCTTAGCTTTAGCTTAACTTTAGCTTAGCTTTACTGTTACTACTAAGGCTGCTTTCCTCGGGGCTCCAACTCCTAGGTAGGGTCGCACTGGGATAATTTGGATTATTACCTAGCAGCGAAGACTGATAGGTTTCTAGTGGGGTCAAAAGAAAGCATCCTGATACCCCAGGGGGGTCTGGGCAGGATCCGGGGAAAGCCGGGGAAAACCGGGGATCCGCGCCTGATATGGGGGAACTCAGTCGGGGGTGCCGTGGGTGCCCGCCTGATATGGGGGAACTCAGTCGGGGGTGCCGCGGGTCCACGCCTGATATGGGTGAACTCAGCTGACGGGTGCCGCGGGTGCTTGCCTGATATGGGGGAACTCAGTCGGGGGGGCCGCGGGTGCAGGCCTGATGTGGGGGAAGTCAGTCGGGGGTGCCGCGGGTCCACGCCTGATACGGGGGAACTCAATTGAGGCTGAGGCTGAGGCTGCGGCTGAGGCTGGGGCAGGCTGAGGCAGACGCTGAGGCAGGCTGATGCATCCGAAAGCCCATGAGCAGTGAGGAGGAGAGATGCCTCCTGTCGAGCGCCACGGTGCTCAGAGGGAGGAAGAGGAGGAGGAGGAGGAGGAGGAGGAAACACTAGTGTTTCTTCTGCTACTACTATTGCCCCCATTACTCCTATTCGTCCACTACAACCACTACAACTTCTGCTACTACTATTGCTCCCATTACTCCTATTCGTTCACTACAACCACTACAACTACTACTTTCACTACTACCACTACTACCATCACTACTAAGGCTGCTACTACTACTGTTACTATTACTGCTGCTCCTGCTATTGCTGCTGCTGCTGCTGCTGTTGCTGCTACTGTAGCTATTGCTACTGCAACTACTGGGATTGCCACTGCGACTGTACCTGCGACTGCCGTTGTCATTGCGATTGCCATTGCGAATACGACTGCGACTGCGAAGGCATCATAATTCTATAAGAGGACTCCTACATGAATCTCAAAAGGAATGCTCCCAAATATGCTTCTACACATCGCTGTTAGGTTGCTTTGCCGGGATAATGTTTGAATATCCCTCCTGTAGAGGGACAGGCCCGACTTACGCTTATCCTCAAGGCCCCATCCCTCAGGGCCCGATTGTTTGAACCGCCGACTCTTTGGCGCGCCGCCGACCTCGCCTTCCCCCCGCCCGTCCCGCCGTCCCGTCCGTCCGCGCGCTCCAAACGCGCGCTGGGGGTGCGCTGGGAGCGGGAGGGGGAGGCTAGGAGGCAACTACTGGGAGGTTTTCGTCGGAAAGGTTAAAGAGGTTTAAGCCTCATTTGGGAGCTGTTACGCCGGAGTGGGCCTCGGACTAAGCGGGATTAAGCGGGATCAAGCGGGATTAAGCCGGATTAAGACAGACTTCGGACCAGTGCAAAATCAGAAATTGACCTCCCAGGAGGAAGGCCCGAGCGGGCGGAAGCAGCGTCTCGGGGATCGCGAAGCCTGGGATCTCTGCAGCACGGACTTGGAGCGTGCTGCTGATTGGACACAAGGCGGACGTCACGCAAATTGAAAATCACTGTCACGCTTTTCTGGTCCAGAACTGAACGGAAAGGCGGCGAGGGGCGGAGGCAAACTGCCATGCTAGTACTCTTGCCAAATCTCCATGAGAAAAGCCCCCGCCCCAGGATCGGGCTCCTCATCCCAAGCCTATTCCTGATCTCCCTGGGGCACGAGTGGCCCCCGGACGCAGGGATAGGACAAGACAAGACAGGACAGGGTGCCAGCAGTCGTCCCAAGGAGGACGACCCTAGAAAGGGTGCGGCGGTGGCGCGGGATCGCTGGAATTCACGCGGAGCCCTCACGACGAGAGGTCGGAGTCGAGGATTAGTTCCGGTCCCGGGGTCGGAGAGACAACATCGTACCTCAGAGCTGGTAAAATTCACGCTGTACCACCTGAGAAATTCACCCGAACTGTCGCAACCCTAGTCGGAACGATGGGACCCGCTGACGAAGACATGGGAGCAGGAGTCGGAAGAATGGGAGCCGGAGTCGGAGATATGTGATCTCTGGGAGCCGGAGGAGAGCGAAGTGCGCGAAAGTGTGCAAAGTGTGCGAGAAGTCAGCCGCCCTGCTTTTGCATGTTTTTTTTTCTCCAGGGCGTGGGAGGTTTGGGGCACGATCGGGCGCGCCGCCTTCACAGCCAGGGGATGTCCATATCCACAGCCTCGAAGCTGCTGCGCCCGTGGACCTCGCGGGAAGGAACCGTGGATGATGCGGGTACCTGCCCGCCCCTGAAGGCCGGAGAATATCCATGTCCACCATTCCTCGGGGTCGCCGGGCTCGTCTCCGAAGCGTTGGATATATCGGGGATCTTATGACCCGGGTCAATCCAAACCTGGATAAGCAGGAAACCAAACAACTGCAATGCATGCACAAAAACAAAACTGCAGCGCAGGTCTTCGCAAGCCCGAGTCAGCCAATATGCGCGGCCGCCTCGCGGCTCGCTAACCCGGGTCAGCTTGAGGGGGTCTGAGCAGGATCCTGCAGGATACGGTGCCCTGGCTGACCCCCGTTTGCATTGACCCCCGTCTCTTGAGCCCCGATCTAGACCTGGCCATCGCTCGGACGTCCATTCCCTGTGTTTTTTTCGGTTTCGCGCGTGGTTTTTCGGCCAGATGGTCGAGGATGGTCATCGAGGGTCCTCGCCGAGAAAGAAAATGCACACGCCCGCGCGATGCCAAGACACTGGCCGTGGGCCGCCGGCGAGGGGGGCGCAGAGCGAGCCGCCTTCGGCTTGTTGTACCGCATGCCCGCCGTGCCGCCGAGTCCCCCGAGCCGCCGCGCTGGAGCTGGCGGCGCCGCCGCGGGCGGCGTCGGCCTGGCCGCGCGGGGCCGCGCGGGCCAGGCCTCCTCGCTCTGGAGCTCCCGACCCCCCGAGGTGCGCGGCGCCGCTGCGGAGCAAGTGTCGGAATCCTGAAACAAAAATCCCCCCGATGTTGCCTGGAACTTGTAAAATACACAACGCCTGCTCTATACCCTAGCCTACCCTACCCTATTGCTTCTTCAAAACCTGTTTGATGTACAGTTTTGCTGCGCTTCTTTGTATATGCAAAATGCCCCGGATTTCTCCGCGCGCAGGGGTGCAGGCGGCACCGGCGAGAGGACGCACGCCTCTTCCGAAGGCCACCCTGCGCGCCAAACATGAGAGGCGCGTGTGCACCGCGACAGCTCACGACACGGGGGCACCCCAGCGCCGCCCTGCTCCCCGCTGCCGCCCCGCGCAGCGTCCTCCCCGTCGCGCCTTGGGGCCTGCGAGCCAACGGGGTTGAAGCTGAAGAACACCTGGCAGCTCCGGGAGGCCACCATCCTCGCCATCCTCGTCCACGCCCTTGGCCCTGGCTGTCCTCCCTGCTCCGCCTTCATGTCCTCCTCCTGCGAACCCTCCCCGAGGCTCCTCTTGGACCTCGTACTCCTCCCATTCCTCCTTCTTCGCCTACTGCGCATCCTCCTCCTCCTCCTAAAGTTGTTGTTCCCTGCTTCTGGTACTGCTACATGCTTCAATGTCGTAAGTATCTTGATGTGTTCCTCTCTTCATCCCCCTCCCCGTCCTCCCTATCCACTTCACACTCCTTCCTCACCATCATGTTCATCGTCGTCGTTCTCGTCCCCATGTTTCTTCTGCAGCCCGCGCTGTTCCTCCAGCGTCTCCCCCATCCGCCTCGTGCTGCGCTTCCTCCGTGCGGCAAGTGCAGCAGCGGGGGTCAGCTGCTGCATACGCCTCCTCCCTCCCCTCGCTCCTATCTCCTCCTCTGCCCTCACCCTCCGTCATGCCTCCTTTTCCCTGCCTCCTCTGTCCTGCCTGCATCAACCCCTTCTCCGTCCTCACTCGCTCCTTCCTCCTCCCAAATGCCCTCTCTCGTAGATCCTTCGCATCCTCTTCTTCCACCTCGCCCCTTCTGCGCCTCCTCCTCCTCGTCGTTCTCTCTTCCTGCTTCACTCTCCTTATGTTTGCATTTGCTAATGCTCATTTCCCCCTCCTCCGCCCAGCCGTGCGGCCGAACAACTACCATGACAACATGGACGGGTGCGCACACCTCCGACGAAAAAAAAAACATTACCACCCCCCCCTCTCTAAATTGCTTCACAACTGCGACAAACATGACACATCTGACTCGTCACGTGTTCCACACGCACACACCGGTACCGTCCTGACGAGCAAACCAAACGGCGCGGGGGATATACACGCGGCAACCCTGACATGTCAACCATGCAACCACTTGCGGCGAACTTGCAATAAGTCTGTGATATAAACGCGATGTCCCACACATCATTCTGTGAACCTCCCCTAACGACGAATCGGCAACTCCTGCAGCGCTATCAGCAAACCCTTCCCATCCAGCAATCTCGTCCCCAAGTTCGAGAGTGTGCATCTCCGATCAATACCCCGAAGACAACAGAAAAGCATGGCGCGCCTCACAATTCGGGAACACCTCATTCGCCGACTTTAACTCCTGGTGGGCCCGTGGTTGCCCAAAATTGCAGAACCCATGCATGGCTGCCAATGTGCCGGCAAGCTTCGCGTGGCCCACAAATCAATTATCCAAACTGTTCGTTGGCGGAAAGCCTGCACTTGGTTGGCGGCACGCATTCAGGGGCTTGTCTGTTCGAGTCGTCGTCTCCGTAAAGCGTCGTATCCGTCCCCCCCTTTCCCTGCACCCTCCTCCTCAAGCTTGTCAGCGATGGAGAAATCCGCCGACCCTGTCGGCGTGTGTGACGGGCTCTTCCGTTCGAGTCGGGTTTTCCCGTTCGACTCGTCGTCGCCGTCTTCCTGAGTTCCACTCACCTGCGCCCTCTTCCTCAGACAAGCCGTCTACAGCGAAATTGGACAACGTCGTAGTTCAGTCGAAGGGAAGACCCTTCCCTTTGATCCCTTCCCCGCGCGGGGGGGGGTCACCGGGTCCCGGGGGGTCCCGGGGGGGTCCCGGGGGGGTCCTGGGGGGGTCCCGATCCAGGGGGGTCCCGGGGGGGGTCGCCACCCAGATTTGTTTTCCTCCCGAGGGGTAGCAAGGCCAAGAAAAGCCCAAACACGGGACAAGAGCGCCCCAAGACATCCCCAAGACGGCACAAGAGCGCCACGCATCGACGAATGCCCGCCCCAAGACGTTCAAGACTGCTCGAAAACGGCCCAAGAGGCCCCCAAGAAGCTCCAAGAGAGCGCCAAGAGCACTCCCAAGAGGGCCCCAGGAGCCAAAATCGTTAATTTTACATTGGTTTTTGAATGATTTCAGACTTCTCGCCTTTTCGGCTTTCCAACGGTCCAAGACGGCCCAATAAGCCCCCAAGAGGGCCCCAAAACGGCCCAAGATGCCTCCAAGAGGGCTCCAAGACGGCCCAAGAGGGACGCAGGACGGCCCAAGAGGCGCCGAAGACGGCCCGAGAGAGCCCCAAGACGGGCCCAAAAGAGTGCCCATGGCGGGACGAGGCACCGAGAATTCTAGACTTCCGCCCCATGAGGCCCCTAGGAAGCCCAAAGAGGCCTCCAATAGCGCTCAAGTGGCCCCAAGAGGCCCCAAGAAGCTTCCCAGAAGCTTCCAAGAAGCCCCCAAGAAGCCCCAAGAGCCCCCCAGACTGCTTCCCTGAGGTTCCCGAGAGCGCTCCGAAGAGACCCACGTCAGCGTCGTCCTCGACGCATCCTCCCCCTCCTCCTCCTGCCACTCCTCCTGCCCCTCCTCCGGAGCCTCCTCCACCTGCTCATTCCTCCTCCTGCTCGTCCCCCGCAACCTCCTGCTGCTGCCCCACCTCGCCCACCGCCTCCTCTTCCTCCTGCTCATCCTTCTGCTCATCCTGCTTGTCCTCCTGCTCCTCCTCCATCCTCGTCGTCGTCGTCGTCGATCAGGGTCGGCGGCACCGGCCGTCAGGCCTCTCCAATCTAGCAATGTCGTAAGCGGGTCTAACAAAAGCCCCTTTCCTTTGATCCCTCCCCCGTCAGGGGGTCCTTGGAAGGGGTGCTTGGGGGGGGGCGTCAGATACGCATCCCCCCCCCCTTGGGGTCCAGAAAGCACCAAGACAGACAACGAGTGCCCCAAGAAGCCCCCGAGACGGTCCAAGAAGGCCCCCAATCGCCAAACGATCGGTTAAAAGCGCCTTCACGCCCTCCAGACTGTCCAGCAGGCCGCCTCCTAGACGCTCCAAGAGGCCTCGACGAGCTCCCCAGAGAGGGCCACAGGAGGCACAATTCACGGACTTTCCTCTCTCTCGCTCCTTTTCTCTCTCTCTCTCTCTCTTCCTCTCTCCCTCACGAGACCACACGAGGCATACATTGGAACTCTGACCCAAAGCCAAAACACGGTGGCGGGAAGACCCGCAAGCCACACCACAACCACCACCACCACCACAAACCACAACACCACCACCACCGCCGCCGCCACCGCCACCGCCACCACAACCACCACCACCACAACCCACCACCAACACAACCACCACCATCACCACAAACCACTACACCACCAGCAAAAACGCGACCACCACCAGCACCACCACAAACCACCACAACCCACCACAACCACCACCACCACAACCCACCACACCACCACCACCATGACCAACACCGCCACCACCACTACCATCACCACAACCCACCACCACCACCACCACAAACCACCACGTCACCACCACCACAACCCCCATCGCCACCACTACCACCTAGCCACCATCCACCACCCACCACAACCAACACCACCACCAGCACAAGCACCACCACCAAACCACAGCCCACCATCACCACCACATCAAACCACCACCACCACCACCACAGCCACCACCACCACCACAAAAACTCACCACCACCACCAGCACCACAACAACCCACCACCACTACCACCACCACCATCAATCTACCGCACCACCATCGCCACCGCCACAGCCACCGCCACCACTACCAGCAGCACAACCCATCACCACCACCACCACCAGTCACCACACCACTATCTCCACCACCACCGAAAACCACCACCACCACAACCACCACCTCACCAACCCACCACCACCAGCACCACAAACCACCACCATTAACGCCACCAACACCAAACAACACCACTACCGCCACCACCACCACAAAACCGCAACCCACCACCACCACCACAAACCGACAGGACAAAACCACCACCACCACCACAACCACGACCACCACAACAAACCACCACACCACCACCACAACCACCACGAACGCCACAACCGCCACCACAACCCACCATCACCAACACCACAAACCACCAAACCACCATCACCACAACCACAACCACCACCACCACCAACCACCACCACCGCAACAAACCACCACCACCACCACAACCACCACCACCGCTACCATCACAACCCGCCACAACCACAACCCACCACCGCCACAACCACCACGACACACCACCTCACCACCACCGCCATTACCACCACCACCCACCAACACCACCAGCCAAATCACCACCACCACCACCAGAAACCGCCGCACCACCACTACCTCCACCACCGCCACCACCACCACAACCTGCTACCACAACCACCATAACAACCACCACCATCACCACCAACCACCACACCACCACCACCACCACCACCAACACCACAACAAACCACCACCACCCCCACCACCACCACCGCCGCCACCACCACCACCACAACTCACTACCACCACCACCACTACCACCGCCACAACCACCACGATAAACCACCTCAACACCACCGCCACCACCACCACCACAACTCACCATCACCACAACCACACCACCACCAGAAACCACTGCACCACCACCACCTCAACCACCGCCACCACCACCACAAAATGATACCACAACAACCACAACAACCACCATCACCACCATCACCACCAACCACCACACCACCACCACCACCACCACCATCACACAACCACCACCACCGCCACCACAGCCCACCACCACCACCACCACCTCAGAGAGGCCCTGAGAGACGCCCAAGAGGCGCCCAGCAGGCTTCACGAATGCCCTCCAGAGGCCCCCGAGAACCCTCCGACGAGACCCCTAAGAAGCATCCAGTAGGACTCTGACCCAGAACCAAGGCACGGTGTCAGAGCGTTGTCGTCGTCGTCGTCATCGTCGTCGCCGTCGTTCTCGTCGACGCTCCCCGCCGCCGCCGCCAGCCGCCGCAGGCGCTGGCGTCGGCCCAGAAAAGGAAGTCGCCGTCTTCATCGACGCTAACTTGGTTATCCCAATGGTGCGATTATTCACAGCACAGGGTAATCGATCTCACAATCGAGGTTACTATACATCTCAATATCGAACTCAATACCGATCTCACTATTGCTCCCACTATATCGGTCTCAATATCCAACCACGGGGCACCACGGGCCGATCACGGGATACAAAACTACATTCGTAGATGCACGCGTAGAAAATCCATAGGCAAGCATGTTTCTGCCTACTTCCAGATAAGTCATATGTACATGCGACAAAGGAGCACACAGTCAAGCTAATACGCATTGCGTTTTACGGCGATGCTGCAGGTATCTAGTTCCGGTGGGTTCCCAGATTTGGGCGGGTGGGTTCCCTGGTTCTGGATTCCCGGTGTGCTGGTTGCTGGTGCCGGACCGATTTCGGTGGGCGGCGGGGTTCCCAGGGTTCAACTTTCTGGTCCCTGGGTTCCACGGTTCCCAATCGACCTCACATTCGATCTCACTAATCGATCTCATCATCCGTGTCACTCAAACGATCTCACTATCGAGTTCACAATCGATCTCACTATCCATGTCACTCAATCGATCTCCCTTTCGGTATCACGGTTGATCTCCCTATCGTTAGCACAGTCGATTTCATGTTCGCTCTCCCTATCGATCTGACTATCGATTTCACTATCTATCTACTTTTCGATCTCACAGTCACAATATGGATCTCCCGATTGATGTCACAGTCGATCTCACCATCGATGTCATTATCAATGGCACCATCGATCTCACCATTTATCGCACTGTCCATCGCGCTACCGATCGCACGATCGCCCTCACTATCGTTGTCATTCAAACGATTGCAATATTGATCTCAATATCGGGCAGACGACACATCCAACGATAGATCTCACTATCGATCGCACGCAATCGATGTCACTACCGGCTTCACTACCAATCTCACTATCGACCTCGCTATCAACCTCAGGATCGACCTCACAATCGAACTTGCGTGAGTGACCTCACTGCCCATCTCAACATCGATCTCATGATCGATCTCACGGACGGTCTCACTTCCGATCACACTCAATTTTCCTCCACGGCAAAGAGGCAAAGGAGAAGGAGGAATCCGCTGCCCTTAAAGAGGCCAATCGAGACAATCGCGCACACGATCGAAGACAAACACAAAGCCTGGACGGCAAAAAAAACAGCAATAGCCTCGGACACGGGTGAAACTCGTGAAACACTGTCCTGCGAACGTGGCCGAAATGCTGGCCGCCAACTCGTGGTGCAGATGAGTGGAGGAGGTGGAGGAGACAC